CAATTATATAGTGCTCTATGAACATAAATTAGTTAGCATAAATCAGTTAAATGACGAAAAATTAGGTGTCTATTTACTTGTGACCACTCAGTGTATATATATAAAAAGAGATTAAACGAGAAGCTCGGACCGTTACTCTAGTGAGGCTTAGATCATTGTATTAAACATAGTTTGATTTGATTATTAATTGAGCGAATTAATGCTGAAAGCTGCTATTGTATTTATTCCCATATTTTCTCACTTAACGCTTTATTCATTGATTCTTGGTTTTCATTTTTAGGGTAATATTATAACTAAAGAAAGTTTTGTTTTTGTTGTTAAGCACCAATCTACACTATGATTTTTAGCGTTATAAGTCTTCAGACTTACCGCTAAGTCACTAGGGAAAATTAAAGAAAGAAACCTTGGGTTGCAAAAACAAAACTCATTTTGAAACATGAGAAAAACTCGTGATTGTATAGAAGATTTTTATAGTTCGTATTACACTGTTCGAAATCAACGTGATACTCTGAAATCTGTTGGGATCTTGAATTTAGCTGAAACTTATCACAACTGTAAACTCAGTAAAATCTGCACTGATAGAGAACGTAAGAGAGACACAAACTTGCATTCTAATTACAGAAGCAGTTAGGGTTGGTTATTTGTCATGTTAAGTACACGCAACGTTATCAATAATTAAAATATATATATAACCTTCTACAAAGCATTAGCAAAATGAATTACGTGCTGTAGGAAAATGAAGTAGTTACTTTATGAAAAGTAACCAGTTACTACAGGTTACCAGTTTCAAGTATTTCAAGCAAATAAAGGAAATAAATTTGAAAACTCTTATAAAGGAAATTTTAGTAACATAGTAATCCTCACTGTGAATTTTAAGAAATATACTTCATACAAATAAGTTTAATTGTAAATGTACACATTTTGAAGGTTTACTGTCTTCTAAAAATATATATATTCGTAAAATATTATAGGTATAAAATTATTTTAGTGTGAGTGATTTTGTTAATTTTTAATTTTATTTTCATAAATTTACGTGACTTTCCATTCTGTTTTTAAGTTCACACATCTAAAACATATGAAAATTGTTAAGTTTTAGATATTTCATTTTTCACATCTTCAGCGGTGTAAATTCTCACCTTGTGAACAAGTGATGTGTTGTTGGAATCACATTCCAATCACGTCTTTTGCTCTGTATAAGTCCTATATTGGGAATGAGTTATATTACAATCATAGACTGGGAATGAGTTATATTACAATCAGAGGCGAGTTATATTACAATCATAGGCTGGGAATGAGTTATATTACAATCATAGACTGGGAATGAGTTATATTACA